AGCACTGAGACCCTTCAGTTCACGCTCCACGAAAGAGGTGCACAGCATGTTGGAGGAGTGGGCCCTAAAATACATTGATAATACTTAGATCATTGGGCTTTCATCTAAGTCTTAGAGCAGTGTCTACAGGCAAGTTAATAGCATTAGCTCTGTTTTACAGATGAAGAACAGTGGGCACAGACAAGCAAAGTGACTTCCCTGGAGCCACAGAGTGAATTAATAGCAGATCTGGGGATGTAATCCCTGGTTCTTGCCTTTCACTGGCCACCCTAACCAGAATCTGGAGTGAGCAATGGGCACAGTGATACACTCACACCTGCACTGCAAAGACAGTATTGGGATAATGATTTGGATGGTCTAGACCAGGAGCTGAATCCCTAAGAGTAAAAAGTGTATATGCATAAGTGCATAGTGTAATTGGGACTGTACTGTGGGGGGTTCAAATTTCAGCCGGTCAAGGGTTACATTTTGAAAAAGTGCCTGTTGTCCTGTCTTTAAAGATGACTCAGTTGTGCTGGACTGGTTGTTTTGGTGACAGTCCAAAGACCACACAGGAATCAAGATTTGTGTGGCATTATCTTTTACTGGACCAACTATGTTGTTGTGAGAGCTGTCAGAGAAGCTTTCAGGCAGAAAATGCCTTTCCTGTGGTCTGGGAAAGAAGAGTACACTCTCAGCCTAACTAAATGCCAGGCAAAACAGTGACCTGTTTAACTCTATTTATGAAAAACTAACTTGTTCAGAAAGGCATGCAGATTTGTGAATGACAACCTATTTCATCAGATGCTGTCACCTACATGTGTGCCCTTCTGAACTAGGGTGCCACCTTACCCTGCCTTCTGCTTGATTTCAGAGTAACACGGCTACCTACCTCCCTCTGTTTGGAAGTGAAAATGGTCTCAAGTCAGGAGAGGAGGAGAGTAAGCCTGTGGGGCAAAGGAGACTTGGGCATTTAGAAACCTAAACCCTCCTGATTGAAAATAATCTTGATGATTGTGATGATCTTCCGAGGTCCCTTCCAGCCCTAATATCTATAAAATCTATGAAAAATCTGATTAGACAGCTTTAAGGGGACAATGTTCCTTTCAAAGAGAGATGCCAGCTAAGGTGTAGCTAAAAGAAAGTGCCTTTCAATAGCGCCCAAGCTGGATAAGAGCTCATAGACCTGCACGTGCATACGCAGGCCCAGTGCTCTGCAAAACATGGTTTCAAGGCCCAGTGCAAACAGGACCTTTGAGAACAGACTTTCTTCCTTAGCAACAGGGTGGGAAAGGCGGAGACAGTTCAAACAATGACAGTATAATTATATTATAGTCACTGCTGTTGTTGTTATTGTTATAACCAACATGAATGAATAGGGAACTTGTACCGTCATTGTATTTTCTCTGCCTTCACCATCCTACTGCTAAGGAGAAAGTTAGAGTAATAAATATTTATATCTTGCCCTCCCCCAAAAAAGCTTAGGGTGGTTTATTATGAAAAGCAGAGAAATTATAAAAACATCAACATATAAATCAAGACCCCCACCCTCCAACAATACCACTCCTGCTGCAGGCTTACCCAGATAAACAAAAAAAAAAAAGTTGGGGAGTCATCTCAGATTTTAGACCTGTTTCCCAGGGCTGAAGTGTTTCCACAGCATCCAGCCCTTTTCTGGGGGCATCAGAGGAGCCTGGACTTCCCTTTGAAGATGGGAACAGGTGGGTGCTGTGGGGACTAAGAAAAAAGCTTGATGCACCTGTGCAATGCTTTTATTTGAGTTGCAGATAGGAACTCAGTTCAAATGGTCTCACCCCATAACTTCCTAAGTCTGTGCTCCTAATTACAATGAGTTGGAGTTAGGACTAGGTCCTAGGAGAAAGCTCAGGCCTCTTGGTGTTTACTCTGGAACTAATGCAGGCCATTTAAAATATAAATGCTGACTACCCACTCATCATTTTTGCAGAAGCACATGATTAGTGCATGACAAGTTGGGCAGAATACAGATGTATAGTACTCCACTTTATTTCCAGATCTGATCCCTGATCTCAAATTTGTCCCTTTCTAGAATAGGACTTCTTGAAACTAGAGCCAGCAGCCAGGGCACTTTTAGGTCTCACAGTTTGGAAAACAAGTGCTGTATTACTAACTCAGCCACTACAGACAAGAGAGAAAACAACCCTGTAGACTAGTGTTTCTCAACCTTTTTAGACTCAACGCACCCCTGGATAGACTTGGGGCACCCCTCAGAAAATGCTAGTTCTTAGTTTTCACTTGCTTTCTTTTTTACCTCAGAAAAATAATAGAGCAATTCTTCCGTTGCAAAAAACTTAGAAAGATCGCAGCAGGTCCGAATGTTTTAACACTGTAGATTCCTATTTGAAAGTTCTAGTTTTATCTGTGAATCATACTTGCACGCCTAACAATGCTAATGTGTGTAGCACCCTGGAAAGGATCTCAAGGCACCCCAGTGTGGCATCCTGGTTGGGAATCGCTGTTATAGATGGCCTGTGCTAAGCCCTCAGTGGCTGTAGTGCAAATCTAGTGACTTAAAGGCAGAGAGGTGTACTTATTTACACCAGTGTGAAGATGTAGCGGGGTGCAGAATTCCCACTGGAGCTGATGAAAATCTGTCTCGTGGCTGTAGGCTGGGGATGCTCAGGATCTCTTCCAGCATGAGGAACATTCCTGTTTGCTACAGAACCATGCTTCAGCCAGGGACAGAGTAAGTCATTAACCAAAGCTGCCAGGACAGCAGAGGACCCAGATATCCCCTTGGCCAACTGCGTGTGCTATGTTTCAGGCAGAGATAATGGGACAAAATATTGAGGACGGGGAAATTTCACCTGCATTCAGGGTAGTTTGTTACATTAAAAAGTTACGAGAACAGCAGTAGCTGTGTAGACCCTCTGGGCTGGCAGCTGTTTTTGGACTGGATGGAATGAACTCTTTGAAGGCCACGTATGCAGCCCATGCCCAGGACACAAACACAGTCCCTGTGCGGAGCTGTTTGTTGCAGCAGCATTTCTGTTCCTTGTAACCCTCCCCACCCTTGCACCACCTGACCATGTCCAGATGAGCGTGGCTATGCAGTGTGTGGCACCACAGACCCGTCTGTGGTGATACACACCACGCATTAAGGTGTTCCCCGCACTGTTGCAGTGCAGGGGGTTGTTTTGATCCTGGGAGATCCTGGGGTCAAAAAACCTAAGCGGAAAAATGGGGCAGCACAGGTGGCAGCAGGGCACATCACCCAAAACTGGAGCCTGGCCGGTTACAGCTATGCTCTGCCAGCTGGCCAGGCTCCCAGCTGCAGGAGTGCCATGGCTGCAGCTTCCTTGGCTCCCAAAACTGTAGGTAAGGGTGTTGGGGTCAGCCTTCCCTACCCCACCCGGAGTAACCTGCCACATAGCAGAGCTCACGGGTACAGGCGTTCCATGGGGACAAGTCATAGTTGCGCAAGGTGTGCCACTGCTTCTTGCCCCTGGACAAACAAACTGTGTTTGTGTGGACGTGGCCCCCGAGTCCCAGGTTCAGAGCATTCGCTTCCTGCCTTTAGGTACTGATATACATTTTCCATGCACTGCCAAATATTGATCACCTGAACCTGATTTTCATTTTATGGTGGGAGCGGCAGGAAGCCCTCAGGGCTGTCTGTAAGTCTGCCACTGACTCTGCAAATGACTTTGGGCAAATCGCTTAACCTCCCTGTCCACAGGAATTTACTTGCCTCTTCAAAGCTTTGGGATTTATACGTGAAAGTGCTGTTCAGTGGGAAGACAAATAAGCACAGTCTAATCAGCCACATGCCCAATCTACCTCGTGGCCAGTGAAGCACATGGTTGTTAACCAGAAGGCAAAAAAATCCTCATCATCCACTTTGACAGCCCCCTCCCATCTGCACCAAATCAAAATCAACACGTTTTGGCACCCGGCTCCGTAACCTTGTTGACACCGTGCTTTAAAACGTAACGTCTGTTCGTGGTCTTCCATTTTCTGCTGTGCTTGGGGAGGTTACGGATGAGCTGCACGGTGTGATCATTGAGAAAGGATGAGTATCAAGTAGTGTGCCTGTTTAGCTTTCTGCTCCATTTGTTCTAACAGGCCCCTGATGTTTCATATTTCTGTTGTTTTTTTTCTCCATCCTTTATGGCTCTCTGGTAGGCAGGCAAGCTCAGAGGCATGCATCTGCCTGGTCTGTAAATTCTCCATATTACCTACCACTGCGGCTACAAGTGAGGAGTTCTGGCTCCCAGCGCTGACACCCTAGGAGTGAAGATAAGCAGCAGCTCCTTGCACGTCCAGTTGTGTATCATGTATAATGTAGCCCAGAGGCAGACAAGCCTAGCCGTCCTCAGTGCTGCACGAGCCTCTGATGTATGACAGCGTCTGCCACAGACAGCTTATCGTCTAAGACACAACTTGCGGAGGAGACTAGCTGGAAGGCCAGGGAAGGGCTGATAATGAATAGGTCCCTGGCAGGGATCTCGTGCTATCATGAGGCAGGCTTCAGGGCCAGGGGGGTTTTGGCCTCATAACTGAGGGCTAGTCAAATAACCACCCTGTTTTCCAGGGTGGTGGGGCCCATGCTCCCAGTTCGCTGGCACCCGAAGTTTCTCAGGCCCCTGGAGCTGGATACCGGCAGACGTTATGGACCTGTTGCCGGGTCCCGAGCACCCACGTTCGTCCGCTGCAACAGCGGTTAGCACATTCAGGGCCTCTCACCTGTGGCAGGATCAGGCGCCTCTTGCCCACAGGTTTTGCATCTCAAAACCCAAATAGGGACCCAGGGGCGATTCGGCCACCAGGTTTTCCACACCCCCCTCTGCCTGCCTGGCAGGGCTGTGCTGTCACCCAGGGAGAGCGCCTGCCTCGGGGGAGGGACCCGGGTCTGTGCCAGCCTGGATGGGGCAAAGGAGCAGGAATGACCCCCCTGCCTCCTGCCTCCTTTTTTGGCAGGCGGGCGCGGCGCTGCAGCGGATCCCGACAACAGGTGCCCGCCCGGGCCCGGCCGCACTCACCAGTTCCCGGAGCCGATGATGCAGACTCTGACGGGCGGCATGGTCCCGGCGCGGCGCGGCGCGGCCCTGCGTGCAGACAGCCCGGGCGCAGCGGCAGCGGCAGCGGCAGCGGCAGCAGCACCCG